TGTATTGGTATGTTACATTAATTGAAAGAATAAACAACAATCAGTTAAAATTATTTTTGAGTAGGAAACAACTGAGCGTCTATTTATGTACCTTTAACCAAATACTGTTACAGTACCGTTGTAATTATGTAAGAAATAATAATAACAAGCTAAACAATATGTTATAATAATAATACTCAATTGTAATAAAGTGATATAAATCTGTAGACTGTGTAAAATTACACAATAATGTGATCTGAAAAAAGTCAAGTGAAATAATGAAATCACTGCAAAAAATATTAAATTATAATGTTTATACAATATTTTTACGAATTCAATTTGAGTAGGTACTTAGGAAATTGGTTACTAGAGTTAACATTTATTAGAAATAATTTATTAGGTTTTTTGCTGATTTCGTATTTAAATATTTTTTCTTTTTAATTACATTAATAACACAATCATTATACGATCGTATTAAAAAACCTTTATTTATTTTGGATGCATGTTTTTTGCAGATATAAATACCTCATTACTTAGGTAATTAATTTTTATTCTACTTAAAATACACATTTTTTTCTCTGGAAATGCACTGACTTTATAATTTCAATCATTTGGTTTAATTAATTGAACGGCGAAGAAGGTAGCGTCATAGAAGCGACTAGGGACAAAAATGCAAACATCAGCAGGCCTAGAATGCGCGCCGCGATAAGCGTTATCGCGCTATTTTATCGATTTTGTGCGATAAGCCCATACATTTGTCGTCTATCGATAAAATTTTATCACGGCGCGCGTCCTATCCCGGCAGGCCTCCCCAACCCTTCTCGCCGGCGAGGGGTGTGTAAGAAAGACCAAATTCCAATCGCCTCTGGTAAATTTGATTTAGGTGATAATGAGAAAAAAAATACGCTTAATGGAAATCAATAATTTTATTAGACAACCACTATTGCTTTGGTAAGTAGTTGCTTGTTTTTATACATAGTAGTTACATATCTATCTTGTACAATTTGTTTTTAAATATGGAAATTGTATTCTAAAACCGTACTAGCTTCGTTCAGTTTCTATGTCAAAACAACAATCTCTTTGCGAACTTTATCGCCCAGAAACTATCTTTCAAGTTTCCCTTATTTCAATAAACAACTCGTGCAATTTATTCAAACTGCTATTCTTTCGATTGTGCTAGTGTTTTTTTTTTATATTGACTTTGAAAGAGTCGAATATAGAAGTTTTAATTTAATTATTTCGATTAATTAACATCAATTTACATACTACAAAAATTAGCAGTGTGGTTTACTTATTCACTACTACGTGTAAAATGTTTATATTAAGTACTACAGCATATTTTTCGTCTTTTACGTTGGTACTTTGGTAGGTACCTACGTGCTATTTGAAAATCGTCTGAATGCTTATTCCATTATACACTTCAGCTCAAATACAATATGGGAATAAAATAAATATAATAAAGGAGAAAAGGTATTACAAAACCTAATTTAATGTTTGTCAAGAAGTCTTGTTAAAATTACAGGAAAAATTGTTAAAATTGATTTAAAATAAATAAAACATAAACATACCTAATCAACAAATAAATAATTGTGTAAAAAACAAGTGTGCGTATTTACTATTTCACTAATGGTTTAAAAGTTAATAATCAATAACTCCAATTAAATACCAAAGACTTCTTATAGAGACAATTTAACTTTTATTTTAAAATTTCTTTCGCGTTAAATAATACCGCCATATACACAACATAATAATAGAAAGTACCATCAAGTAACCAGTGTAAGAGAAAAAACGTGGGTGTTTTATTTAGGTGTATTATAATTATAGTGTTCTACCGCCGACCATGTTATTATCTTTCATTGCATAGATTATTAGATTACAGATGTTCTATTTGGAACCGAATACAAGCTATTAAAATAATTTGCTGACCTAACTTGGAAGTTCACTTATCGGACTGCAAAAGTTCCGGGTTCGAATTTTATTAGAGAAAATATTTTATGTATTTGAGGTGTACGAGTTTAAAGACTGAAGATATAAACGTTATGTGTGCATATAGATATACATAGGTATTTAATATGTTAATTATTATAAAGTATCTCTTATTAAGATGTAGCCAAGTTAATTTGTGAGTAAGGTTGGGTTGCACCATCTTACTTTGACTTTAACAAATGTCAGAAATCTGTTAACTCCATACAAAACACACCGGTTATCGTTAAAGTTACTGTTAAGTTAGGTGGTGCAACTCAGCCTTAGAATATCTCTTTCTATACTGTAAACTACCAATATTGAATTCAATAGGTTAAGGTTAAAAATATTGAATTGAAAGAACTATAAAATCCTTGTACCTAAACATTTTATTTTTAATTAACACTTAACATCGTACTTTACATTAAGTAAAAATACTTTTATTACCCAAAAGTTATACAAAAGTAAATTATATTGAGATACATAATCGGATACACAAGAACAATCTTCTTATGTATCCGATTATGTATCTCAATATAATGTCTAAAGTAATTATTGCTTGCGTCATATCGGAAGAAACATAACAGTGTTCGATTACCCATCGATTTCCTTACTTTTCTAGTCTTTCCTACAATAAAGGAAGAAATCTGATCGTTATTTGGTTACTTAATCTACGATCTAGAATCTAGATTATACAATATTGGCGTGTCTGCGACCAATCGAATTGCGCGAAGTAGTGCCGCTTATTGATGGACAATCGATACTCTATCCATAGTGGACTATATCGATAACAACACTATTTAGCGCTATTCGAATACAATAAAAACAAAACTATTTTTATCAATAGGAATTTTGAGCAATACTATTGATAACGTTTTACGTCCGATAAAATTATTGAAATAATCGATCATTTTGATTTGGTTTTTGGTTTTTTCTCACAGCTGTTCGATATCGCCGCTGTCCGATCGAGAACGCAAAAATATCAATAGAGTCGATATTCTTGAATACTTTTCGAGGTTAACTATCGTATCGATGGTCCCGCAACACTAAAGAAGCTGCGCGTGCGCTGCTTTCCGTCTTATCTCGACATAGCACATTGGGCAAGGTTACCTATTTTACGCTTCCGAAATGGTAGTTGACTCGAAAAATGAATTTCAATCAGTCTTTGAAAAATGCGAGCAAATTCAAATAACTAAGGCTGAGTTGCACTATCTTACTTAACTTTGACAAACGTCAAAAATCTGTCAAACTCCATACAAAAAGCACCGGTTATTGTTAAGGTTAAAATAAGGTGGTGCATCTCAGCCTAAGTAGAGTTTCTGTTTTCTTCGGTCAAATGCAATTGAAAGATGTTTGCCTACTTATACATATACACAACGAGCAAGCTCTTGGCCTGTTTCTCACATGATGGAAAGTGATGATCAGGCGTGTAAGGTGGAAGCGAAGGTCACTCGGAATCCTCAACCAAAGAGGAACTGGCTATCTTACCTCAAACTGCCGGAACACAACAAATACAGCAATGCTGTTAACACTGTTGTTCAAAAATAAACGTTGTTATGGCGACAAAAGGTAAAACGGTTAAGTTTTATTACAGAATGCACTCTGAATGGTCTCTTTCACTGACTGTGGAATTCCCTCATGAGTAAAAGAGACATGTAGAGACGTTAATCGACATTGCTATTCACTGAGCAGAGTAGACCCCTGCATTATCAGTCTTTGTTTAGATAAGGTTCTTAAAATCTTTCCATAAAATCTCTGGCCGTCAGTCCGTCATAAGATTACTGAGGTGTGTTCCAAGGTCATTGAGTAAGATAAGTTTATCTTGTTCAAATGTCATTCATTTTATGTAAGTAATTTACCGTTACTATCAAAACCAATCATTGGTTTTAAAGTTTCTTAGCGCATAATATGTAGTAGTAGTCGGTTGGTGGTGGCCTGCATCCAGCGCCTTCCCACTACCTTTATGAGGTCCTCGGTCCACCTTGTGAGTGGACGTCCTACGCCGCGCTTTCCGGTATGTGGCATCCACTCTAGAACCTTGCTGCCCCATCGGCCGTCAGTTCTGCGTACTATATGCCCTACCCATTGCCACTTCAGCTTGCTAATCCGTTGGGCTATGTCAGCGACTTTAGTTCGTTTACGGATCTCCTCATTTCTGATTCGATCTCGTAAAGAAACACCTTGCATAGCGTCTGCATTATGGAAGTCATTGAGGGAGGTCTATGTTCTGAAACGATGATAATATACAGTAGCGCAGCATCGATGAAAGATAGAGTTTTGAGTAGAGAAAGAGTCTGCAGCCTTGTCCGATGGACCAATGGCTCAATATGATCAGGCTTAAGCTTTGTTTCCACCTACAGCCAAAACGTCACTTTCAATCAAGTGAGATGCAGGTCAAGAGTTTCCCTGTTGTGGTTAAAAAAGCTTAGCAGAGGACTTAAATTGATAATATTTAAACATTACCTATTGACCTTTCACGTGATAAAAGACACTTATTTCTTACATTTCGGCAATTCGTTCCTTTGATGCGAGTGTAATACCTACACTTAAATCTTTCAATAGGAATAAAACCAAATTTAAGATAAAACCAGACTAAAAGCACGTTCCCCGACTATTTTTTATTTATTTTCTTTACAGAACATTCACAAAAGAAATAATGATCAAGTACTAATACTCTAAAAGATACAATCGGCTTTTTATATCGTTTCCACAAAGGACCTTGATAAATAGTAGCTTATGTATACATTCTACATCTTAAGCTATATTTTATAAGTATATGCCATAAGTCATGTACAATATTTATGATATGAGATTACGGTCAAGTATGTACAAATGTACAGTCTGCCGTGATATAGCGGTGCTTATCAAATTTTAAAATGTGCTAAAGTGAGTGGTATGCGGTATGCTCAGAAATTCTTTCTTAGACTGTTCTAAAATCAGTGGTAAGCGGTTCTGTTAGAGTTCACTTTGAAGTGTCTGAAATTCCATAAGATAAATTTTCACGCAGACTGTACTGATAATAAAATAAAACAATTGATAACTTAGATAATTTAGAGCACGCGTATCAGTGTTGTTTTACCTGTGCGCAGTGGAGTGCGATCAAGTATAGTAATAATATAATAAAATTACAATCGTATGCCGTGTCACAATAACTTATAATTAAAACAATGATACCGTACAAAACAAGTTAATTTATTTAATTTGTGCAAAATCTAATCGGGGCTTGTTTATTTTACGTCACATATTTATTTGGTCGCCGGTGAAAGTTGATTCGCAATTGATATGATTTGCATTCGTATTTGATTTGTTAAGATCTTGTGTGTGTTTCTTACTACGGATTACTATGCGAAATGCAGTGAAAGTACTTTGCATAAAACATAATATAATATGGTTAACTGTGTGTTTATGACTTTCGAGTGCGTTGCATAATAGTAAAAAGCTACTTCTTATTCAAATATTTGCTACATTTGTACTGCTGACAGTGCTCATATAACATAAGATTGATAGTAATCTTAGTTCAATCAGATAAAAAATATCTTAAGTAATGATTTTGGAGAAGTTTAGACAGACGACACGGTACATCAGCCTAAACACTATGGCGACTTGGCAACTTATAAGACAGTAGTTATAGTTCTTGCAACTCACGAAGGCGAGGAGCTTTACTTGTGTGTGTAAGTACGTGTAAGTATACATGCACATAACGATAGTGTAATGTTTGTCAAAACTTTTGAAAAACGGACAGTAGCGAGCTACCACACGGGTTATTCCGTATTCGACCCATGACAACTCAACCCATTTCTTCACTCATCCCAAATTAGTATTCCTAGCTCTACCCATTACAGAATTTCGTTATTCTACCCAAATGCATTCCTCACTCAACCCAAAGTAAATATACCAAAAACAAGTATGGATAGCAAAGCAACGTTTACTATTTGTCCAGAAATTTAATTATGATAAATACATACTAGTACATTTATTTTTATTTAAAAAAAACATCACCTACATGTTTGATAAAATATACAAACATACATATGGGAAAACTTGCACTTTCAACAAACCGTTGTTAAAGGTAAAAGTGTGAGTTATTATCTTTTTAACTGTTATCTATGCAAATGAGTAACCGATACCGCTTGCCAAGCGGCTTGTCCATCCATTGTTCACCCTTAAACCGGTTTTAATTGTTTTGACAATGTTGCGAATCGGCCTATATTTTGTTTTGTTAGAAAATGTTTAAAAATGTTGATTAACTTAATTATATCGAAGATTTTATTCTATTTTAAGGTAATTAAGAAACTTTGGTCAAATCATACCGCTCAAAACTTATACCGCGGGATTAGTTATCCGTCCACATGAATACTTTTATTAAGATTTATAGTGGATTTATAGTAGATTTATATTAGATTCAAATTATGTAAGTTAATGGTTCCTCTTTAATCTGTGATTTTTATTATAAGATTTTAAAAAATGTGTCTACTTTTTGTTTTGTTATGAAAAGTTATAGTTCTAATTGCATGTAGTCATTATTTTATTTGTGTCCTTTTGTGAAAAACGTTTTTCAAATATATTATTGTATCAGAACTCCTGTAGTTATATTTAATAGCACGATCTTAACACAAAAATTAACTGAGCTTAAATTTCTAAAAAATATATTTTTATTCTGACCGTACATAAAAATCTTATATTTTTTAAGTGGTTTTAAAATGGGTTGAGCTAGGAATGTTTTTGGGGTGAATAAGGAACATAAAATTAAAAATTAGTTGTGGGTAGAGTAAGGAACAAAATTGGGTTGAGTAAGGAAAATAATGAGTGGGTTGAGTTTGTCGTGGGTCGAATACGGAATAACCCTACACACATGTAAAGCTCACTCGCCTTCGTGAATTTTATTGTAACAACTAAAAAGTAACAATGAATTTAATTTTTTTAAATTTTAAAAGTGTATGTCTTGTGCTATAGACTTATGTACCTTGTTGCCTCTTTTACGCCCTAAACAAAGAGAACAGCCGGTACTTTTGTGACTAAAAACCTTTTAATACAAAGTTTAGAAATAAAACACAACTGCGTCACTAATTGGTATGAAGCGTTAACGCTATCACAAACAAGAATAGCGTATTATCGATGAAATAATTATGCACTTTTTGTTAATGTTTCTTCAAGTATGAGAATCATTGTTTTGTGACCTCGAAGATTTGCTTCCCACAATTATACGGTTAAAGATAAGTAACTAGGTCAGGTTCAACCTAAAAAGACAAAAACATTAACTGTTTTCTCAAAACCTGTAATCTTTTGTACTAATTAAGCTCTACATACCTACTCTTGCTACTTATAAAAAGTTTATATTTGCTAATTGAAAAACTGTAAATAAGTGTCCTAGTATTTCTGCCTTGGCAAATAATTAAATGTCTCCAAACATTATGTCCAGCAAGTGTAATACAGAATAAATAAACTAGAAATTATTCATTTGTAAAACAATGATTGTAAACGAAAACTCCATCACAATTTTGTAATGACAAAAAATATAGTGAAAATAAGAGTATGGCACCCAATTGCGCCAGACTACTTTTGATTAGGGGTTTTCAGTTAAAATTCCTGATACATAATATTATTATTAATCCCTGAAGAGTAGGTACATAAAGTGGTCACTTAGGCCCAGAACAGATGGTGAAACGCAACTGCAACGAAACTGCAACATTCTAATGATTCTTATGAATGAAACTGAAACTGAAAGTTTCAAACTGGTCGCGTCATGTGTGGTCTCTCAACGGACGCTATGGCAGAAACTTAGATGCAACTCTAAAGTAACTAGCAGTTGCAGTTTCGTTGCAGTTGCGTTTCACCGTCTGTTCTGGGCCTTACCCTGATTAATGCTTTCTCATCCGTCTAATGTTAAATCTAATCAATAAATAAACAATTTACACATTCTTTACGCTGATAATTATAATCTAAATGGATATAACAACGACACAACTATGAGATAATCTAGTAGAATAATTATCGAGTTATTTTTATCTGAGATATTTAATCGTCAAATTGTTCCATCATTGCCGGATGACAATGTAACATACGTAATAGATTCTTGATCTAATCTTAATTGAGTTTGATACCTACTTAAATAAAACCCCTTACATAGCATATTTTTTATTAAGACTCCCTTCATGAAAAGTGAAACAGTTTTTTAAGTCTATAGGCCATGACATTTATTAGCTAATAACCCTCCTTCTGGCGCAGCCGGGTAAAAATAGATATCATTGTTACTTACATCAATCAATAATCCTTATTTTATTTATTTAACTATGTGATAATTTTACATAGCAGTAACATCCGATTTAAAGATAAACCACGTGAGCTGTAGTCGACTTGAAACATGTGATTTTTCTCAATGACGATCACTCACTGTCGAACACTATCATCACATTTTATCGTTTGAAGTACCTACTATTTACCATAGCATTAATATACAGGTACCTACAAATTATTGTAACAGTCTAAGTAGCAAGTCGTCTAAATTAAGCTCTACCTACAAAGACTGAGTGTCAGATTCGAATCTCATAAAGGTCACATGAAAATTTGTTATACCTAAAATTATTTTTTCTTTATACAAAAACAATCATATTCATAAGCTCTTAAAAAGCCCTTGCAAAATTGAAATTTTGTTACACATTTAACAAAATTATAGCGCGTGACAAAAAATATTCAACCCTGTGTACCGAAAATTGAATATTATTTTTAGAAGTAACGTAGAAGGCAAGATTACCTTTACTTACCGTATGAAGGCTGTTGAGATAAAAGTGTCAATGTAAAACACTAAAATCTGTTGATATCGAAATTCGATAAGTGTGTTACATAAACTTTAAATTGTTAAAAAAACAATATTTTCACGTGTCCCGTCTGAGAATCTCACTAAGCTATACAGGGTGAAATTTAAATCATTGGCATCCTGTTGTCACACCCTGTCGTTTTTTCGTCGAGGGTTAAAAATAGGAGTCTACTCACAGATATGTCTCCTATTTGGGGAACGTACTATAATTATGTAATAAGTAGAGTATAATTTGAAAAGAATACCAACGATTTAAATATTTAAATTTCACCCTGTAGAGACCGGAAATGCCTGTCATATTGCAATAACAATACTGATGTACTGACATACATCGTTCAGCCGGTAGAAGTAGAGTGGCTCATTAACACTTTTAGCAATGATTCATTGAAAACAGGCATTATCACTCTTTATCAGTGTAGGTGTTTTGTACACTCGGCTAGATAAATGTTTATAAGAAACTTTCACCAATCTTATGAGGTTAATTTCAGACGCGTTCTTTAGAAATTCTAAATTTATACTTGAATGATCAAACGAACTTACCAAGTGAAGTTCGATCTAAATTATCCTGTTTTCGCCGAAGAGATTTAAGAAAATGGCTACTGGGTAACATCTCGCATTACCTCGGAGCAAAAGAATGGCTACTGGGTAACATCTCGCATTACCTCGGAGCAAAAAATGGCTACTGGTTAACATCGCGCGTTAACTTGGAGCTAAAAATGGGTCAAAGTTACGCGTCGTGTCACAACGCTTATAATAAAAATGTACGAGCACTTGCACAAAATAGTTGTTAAAACCAACCTTGTGTTGGGTCTAATTCTCGTCACTACACTGCACAACTTAAAATAATTACGTTTTTTGTCGGTAAAAACGTCCTGGTGACGTCACTTAAGCATTTTTCTTATACTGCGTGCGGTCGTTGCGCGTGCGCACAAAGGAATGAGACCGCTCGGACACCGAGCCCACAGCGTGGTAGGGGTGGGGTTGCCCGCTCTTTTGTTTTTTACTACTACTACGCTGAATATTGTGTGCGGATTGGGTTGTCGTACAGGGGTACTACATGGTAAAATAAATCTCGGAGGCGAAAGCAGGATAATTATTGTAATCTGGTAATGACTATATTATTTTTAGTTTTGAAGAGTTTTCGTTAGTGTTTTAACCCTTCATTCGACGGATTTTTTTTATTTAAATTTATAAAACAGTTACTGATTTCGTTTCTTAGCTTGTATGGGACCCCAGAAAAAATACCTAATAAGGGTACCACCACGCTTCTGTTCCATGCCTCTGGCATTATTCCCTCGAGTAAGACAGAGTTAAAGATTTAGCTGTCTATATTCATGCGCTCTATGCAAGAACTGATGGAAAAGCAGGGTAAGAAGAACAATTTTCTGATGAAAACCTGTATTTATATGAAAAGGAGTAGTGTTAGGCGGAACCAATGCTACTAAGGCTTGTTTTTTAGAGTTGAAACTCTGAAACACGATACATAGTGAGGCAGAAAACATATTATGTGTGGATCCCTAAAATATTATTACCAAAAACCACAAAAGTTAATTTTCTAACAATTTGATAACGGGAAGAATACTGGACATAGTATTTAGCAGTTACTTTACTAGTAATTCGACGACGGGAAGTATACTGGACATGCAAGTTATAGGTGTCGTAAAACGAAAACAAAACTCTGTATGACAGTAAATACATTGTAAGTAGCTTCGCAGGTATCCTATCTATAGTTTTTAATAATATTACAAGAGTATTAAGCCGTAAAATAATGAATAAAATGCAATTTACCGAGAGCCCGCACAGCGGGCCCTTCCTCCCCGTCATATTATTGGAGATTGCTCGCGTCTCATCGATATTGGTGCCTTGCTGATTTTTGACAGCATAGTTAGATAGTTCAGGGAGCAAATAAACACCTTGAGTTCAAGATATACGGTCAATTTTTTTACGGAGATTTATTTTCGTTCAATGGGAAGTATATCGCACGTCGTCGAATTAAGGGTTAAAATCTCATTCGCCTACTTTAATCGTTTTAGATTGTTTTGTTCATTGAGTAGTTAGTACTGTTGTAACTTTGAACTATTCACGATTTAAAATATTTTATATTGACCCAATGTTTGTTTTCATTTGTTTTAAGAAAGCAGATCTGCCACGAAAACTTTATCAATTTCCCTAAAATCTTATAAATCTAATCAATTTATTGAGATTAGCATGTTTAAGTCCGACTATATTTATTATTAAAAAAAAAAAAAAAAAAAAAGATTATGTATATAGTATTCAATTTATTGTTACTGTATATTAATATGGTCATTTTATCCTACCTCAATCCGCTCTCCTGATCACTTTCTTCTCTCCGCCCGATCCTTCCGTTCCGTATTTTTCTTTCCTTAACCGTTTCCCCGTTTTTACTCGACGAATGGCAACACACAAGCCGNAAAAAAAAAAAAAAAAAAAAAAAAAAAAAGTCCGACTAGTTCGGGATGAAAGGATACTAAGCTTAGGCGCTGACCACCGACTTTTAGTTGGCCGATAGTTGGGCCCTCAGATCATAGATATGAGGTGGAATTGTGTAAAGCAATCGTAATCATTTGACAGTTCATAACGTACGATTATTCTGTCAAACGCTTTGTTTAACTGACTTTATGGTACGTTATGAACTGTCAAATGATTACGATTGCTTTACACAATTCCACCTCTGATTGGGCCCGATTCTAATTTATATGAAGGATCGGTCTATAATAAATCGGAGTAATGTGCGCACTTTCATATATCTCCATACTGAACAACCCGACCCAACTATCGGCCAGCTAAAAATCGGTGGTAGATATGTGCCTAGGCTAAAGGGTTTTTTTGTAGTTGACTATACTGTGTAGACTCAGCATTCTCGAATAGATAAGATAGTATGGGATGATATTTCCGAACCGTGCAGTTCATTTGAGACTTTTGTCGGTGATTACATATCATCGGTAAGTTTTTCACCTATTTTAAACTAAGTTTAACCCATAAAAAACGTCACATACCTATTAAAGGTGAATCTTTAAGATTATCTTATCATATCGAAAGAAATCGATATTTTTCGCAATCAGTGTTTATCAGTTGGTGCATATGGAAATTTTTATTTATTAAAATCTGCTCATGTTATTGAAAATACCAATAACATACTTTATTTTGTTTGTTTTTCTTTAAATTGATATATTCAAGGAAGGAATAAATACGCTTTCATGGAAATTCTAGTGTTCTACGACGATTAATATTGTTTTTTGTTTATTGATATTGATTATAATGTGTGTAACCTCACACTTACGTTATCATTGCACTCAAACGATTATCTTAAAGTGCATTTAATTCAGATGGCTATACAAATTAGGCATTTGAATGTAGATAAATGACAGTGATCCAACTGCTATTTAATTTAATTTAAAGTGCGCTTGTTTAAATTAAATCAAAACATGTGCTTACTTCCTCAAAAAGATGGAAATGTGACTTGTATATATCAACGTGAAATTGGGAACTACGTCAAATTATAATCTAACGGAATTCACAATTTTACGGTGACATATTATACACCTCTACTACGTTATTTTCTAGCAGTTAAAGTACCGGTATCTACCAGTACATCATCCATCATACAATCTGATTCAATCTTAGATAGAGAAAACTAGTCGATTGTTGTGGATATTATTTTATCACAATATTTGCCCATACTAGAGATAATACGATTATTTTTTATTTTTTTCATCCACAACGAGGAAGCTCTTTACGCTATTATTTTACATCAAGATACTGTTATAGCCACCCATTCAAACAGAACGGAGAGTGAAAGTTAATGGATTGCTTTACTTGACTTTGAACTTTGCACTATAAATAATGTAACATAATTATAGTCCAAAACTTTGGCAATTTTGTAAATAATGTAGGTGTTTATAACAGAAATTGCACTGACTCAAAATCCTCAACATACCTATTGCAATAGCATTTCTCCAACAAGAGAGGGACAGACATTTTGGTGTCAATGTTTTTCGACATAATTTGTTTGCAAAATTTGATTTGCGTCGACTACAATGTAAAATAGAGTCGGGTAAAAACTTCAATAACCAACAAAGTGTTTGAAAACACTTTAAGAATTGATAAGAGATGTGATAGATGAGATTAATGATAAGATGCTATAGGTACTGATGTACAACTGTAGGTAATATTTAGAATATTAGGGTTTTTATTATGATCTTATTCATAAGTCTCTAAGTTTAGTTTCCCACAGTAAATTATGCTAAATAATTTTGGTTGTTTGTAGAATTACGGTCCGGCTTATGAAAATTGTACATAAGTACCTGGTGTCATTATAAAAACTTTATCATGAAATTATTAACGTCTTCTGGTAAACCCAAAGGTTAGGTAGGTACACTGGCCACAAAGACACAAAAAGAATTTAAAAAAACCTTATTAACTAATAATTTTAGTCACTACTGGCCTGAAACACAATTAGGTAAACAAAAATATTAATAAATTACTTTATTATGAATACTTTTTACTCGAACTGGGACGGTGACAAAAAGTTTTTATCGCACTTGATCAAAACTATACCTAATTAATGTAATTTTAGTTGTATTATTACCCAAAGCATAAAAACGAGTTTAACAAAGCAAAAAGGAGCTCGTTCTTCTACTAGGTCCCATCTATTTCTACTAAAATCTATCTCTACCAAAAACGGCTGGATTTAATTGAAAAATTCGTTTTCATATTACAACACTGCGTAATAAAATGAATGCACACAACTAGGCTCAAAATATGAATGCAAATCACATATTTTAATATTTATTTAAAACAAAATCTTGAAAATTAAAGCGCCTGGATCATGGAAGCGACAGTAAATTAGGATTACGAAAACGAAAATGTCCGACAGTATCGAGGAACTGGTGAAGAAGTACGAACATAATGTCTTCGGCCAGGAATACCCGCGAAGCATTGGTTAGTATATTTGTATCGATTCGTCTAGTTTTATCATTCTGACTTTTAATATTTTCGTTCTTACTGACTGGCTTCTGCCACTTCTTAGCGCCAGCCAATTTGACCCATCAAAAACAATACTTACTTGTCAAAAAAAACAAGTCTCGCAACTCAGTTGTTCTACGGTAAAAAGTTGTGAGATCCATGTAATACCAAGTCCAGGCCAGGAAATCTTTAACGTTTTACATAAATATATTGACTTGGCCATCGCACTAAATAATTTAATTTACACGTGTTTTCATGCGATGGCCAAGTCAATATATTTATGTAACGTTGACGTCACGGGCCTCTTCTTATGAACTTTGGGGCGCTTTATCTCTTTAAATTTTCATTAGTTTGAAAAAGTGAAAAATACGTGTAGAGTATTTTTTTATAAGTTAACTGACGGACTAATTAAAACTCTTGCTTTTTGACCCAGGCAACATCCCCATTGCTTCGAGAAAAGGATGGTACGGCCGTGCCGCTTTTTTGCTCGACTTGGTGGGGGCACTGCCGTGCCCCCAGATGACCCGAAGTGGTGGTACGAGGGCTGCACTAAAAGTATCGGGAATAGAATATTCCTACTGTTCCTATCATATTAAAATATTTTTAATTGCAAACTCCTTGGTTTTAAGCATCGAATACCATTTATTTATTTAAAAAAAGATTCTCGGTCTTATCACAAGGTCTTGTGAAACTTGTTTAGTCGTTGAGAAAATGGAATTGACTCGAGAAAATTCAAGAGCGATGATTTATTACGACTTTCAGAGTGGTTTAACACAAAAACAGTGTGTTGACCGGATGATTTCTGCATTTGGTAATGAAGCCCCATCCAAAACCATAATTTATCGCTGG